GGGGAGGAGGAAGTGAAAAATTGAAAAACTCGAATGAAGTAGGAAAAGGTGAAGGACGTTTAAAACGTTTGACATAGTTTTTTTTTTTTTTTTCGGCGAAGATGATAAAAAAAAAACGACGACAAGTACAACAACCACCAGAACAACCAGAACAAGAATCAAAAGTGGAGTAGAACAGTCACGATTTTCTATTACATCCTATCGGTTGAAATATTGCATTCGATATTATCATTATTATCATTATTATTATTATTATTATTATTATTATTATTATTATTAATAATTTTTTTACATGTATTTTTGATGAAAATTACGTCATAACGTCGCGCAAAAATTGAAATTTCATTACGGTTGTGTTTGTGGTTGTTGTTGTTAAAAAAAAAAAAAATTCGTCTTGAAATGTTTTTGAATCGTCGAATCTAACGCCACGTTTGCGTTGCGTGTGCGTGTGCGTGCGTTTTAGTAGTACTTAATCATCTTGTTCTTTTTTTAACTAATACTAAGGAGTGAGAACGTAGAGAGAGTACGAACGTCCGAGTGAGAGAGAGAGAGAAGAAACACTTCGAATATTATTATTATTACGTTCGCCCGCCATATTGTGTGTGTGTATGTCTTCCGGTTCCTTCCCCTTGACCTTCCTTCTTTTCCGTTCTCTTCTTTACCCTTTCCTCTCAAAAGTAGAATTTTCCGCAAGGTTATAAAAAAAAACGCCGATGAGGGAAACGAATAAGAAATAAAGAAAAAGAAAAATTTGTCTTTTCTCTGTCGTCTGCTATAAATACCGTATACCGGTCTAGCTATGACCCAGAAACCTCATTTTCGTTTACTCTCTACTCGCTATTTAAAACCACGAAACTATGTCCGCATTTAATAATAATAATAATAATAATAATAATAATAATAATAATAATAACGATTATATGAGAATTCGAGAATAATTGCAACGGGCTGATGAGGAAGGTAGGGAGGGAGGTGGGAGGATGGGAGGATCGCGGGGGGCAGGCAGGCGGGCAACCGGTAACCGGTCGGTCGGTCGGTTGGTTGTAATTCGATAACCGCATTCCACGATCGTTTGACTTTTGCAACAATAATCGAGTTGTTTGGAAAAAACGGTGAGCGAGTCCGCGAGAGAATTGAGTGAGTGAGAGAGAGAGAGAGAGAGAGGTAGGGGAGAGTAAGGGCATAAGAGAGAGAAAGAAACTGGTAAGGAAGGGAATCGCCGTAAAAAAAAAAAAAAAAAAAAAAAAAAACAACCGAGGCGAGTTATTTTAAAGTACGGTGCCGACCTTGCCTTCATGCTTTTGTATTATTATTATTATTATTATCATTATTATTATTAAATCGAAGACAACCTGATACTCGGGCTCAAAGCCGATTTTTTTTTCTATTTGACCTCGCCTCGAGGAATTAACACGTTCAAAGCAATTTTCCTTTCCATTCGATATTTTATCGTCCGTGGGTGAGATTATTATTATTATTATTATTATTATTATTATTATTATTATTATTATTATTATTATTATTATTATTATTATTATTGCTATCATAATCGTAATCATCATTATCATCATCATCATCATCATCGCTTACTTTTTCTCTCGCTCTTCGATTATATAAATTTTTCTAAGTGCCGGATATCGTTTTCAATATGGCCGAATTTACGGTCATAATATTTTCATTTGCGATCCTTTACTTAAAATTACTTTTCGCGTTTGTTCTATCGAATGTGTGTGTGTGTGTGCGTGCGTGTGTGCGTGTGTAACAACAAACGAACAAACGATTTGTTTTTTATTCAATGCGGTCAACTTTCTAAATTTTTTTTTTTTTTTTTTTTTAAATGTTTGTTGTATATATGTAGAAATTTAAAGGAAAAAAACTGAAAATTTTTCGTTTAGTTTTCTCTCTCTCTCTCTCTCTCGCTCTCTGTTTCTCTCACTTTCCCTCTCTTTCTTTTCTCGGAGCTTTTCCTCTTTTCTTTTTTTTTTTTTTTTTTATTATTTCGTGCATAAACCGCGTAATTAAAGTTTTATTATTTTCTCCAGAAGAAAAAAAAGCTGTCGTTTTTTTTTTCTTAGAAGGAGGAAAGGGGAAAGGGGAAAAGGGAAAGGGGGGCAAGTTAAAGTTTTTTTTTCCTGTCGTGACGTTTCGCTTCCGCCTTTTTCTTTTCTTTTCTTTTTTCAAAAATTATGTTTTAATCGTGGTTCGAAAAGAAAAGAAAAATGAAACTTGTTCAAGGTTATTACTACTAAAAGAAAGAAAGTGGATGTGTTTTATTTATAAATTATTTTTTTTTTTGTTTGTTTTGTACCTCGAAGGTAATTCTTTTTCCGGTGTCTTTCCTTTCCCCACCCCCATCATCCCTTCTTCTTCCCCCCTGGATACAAAAAAAAGGAAAAAAATAGAAAAAGTTGTTAATTAATCAATAAGAATGAAGTAATAAATGGTGGCACTTTATCGTACTTATTTTTCTATTTTTCCTATTTTCTTTCTCTCTTTCTCTCTCTCTCTCTCTCTTTTTTTTGGGTTCGGTAAGTTTGGTGTGTGCGTGTGCGTTAACATTTTGAAAAGTTAAATAAAAGAAAGAAAAAAAAAGTTATTTGTTGGGGGGCGAAGTGATCACGATGATCGCGTTTCGTGATTTTAGAAAAAATTTCCATTCGTTGTAACAAATTTCTTCTGACACGTTCGTTGCAACTTTGCAGCGACGTGTGCAAACAAAAAAAAAAAAATTGGGAGGAGGGGTAGGAAAAGATTTTTAAAATGACGTAACGGCGGGCAAAACCTGGAAAAATTTGATTTGATTTTTTTTTCTCTCTTCAATTTTCCCGAGTTTTTCCAGTCGAAAAAAAAAATTTTTTGTGAATCCATGGGATGAGAGAGAAAGAGAGAGAGAGGGAGAGGAAAAAGGAAAATACGAAAGGAAATTATTGTTTCGTTTATTTATTTATTTGCTTTGTTTGTTTGTTTGTCTGCTTGTTTGTTTTTTCGTTTTTAATGATGATGATGATAATTTTAAACAAAAAAAAAAATTTTCAAAGGAAAATTCAAAAAAAAGAAAAAAAAGGGTTTTCGATTTGAAAACGTTTTCATAATATTAATAATAATAATACTAATTTATTTAATAAAATAAACTTTTCGTTTGTAAATCGCCATTGTGAATCGATGAACTGCCGAGAAATTTTTTTTCTTATTTCCTTCGAAACTATAATAATAATAATAATAATAATAATAATTTTACTAAGGAACGATAATAATAATAAAAAATAATTATCATTATCGTGTGAATCGTCATAGTCGTCGTTGACGTCGTAGAAATTGAACGTGGAATTAAAACGAAAAATAATTAAGTAAAAATTTAAAAAAAAAAAAAAAGTTTAGGAAACGGAGGGGAAAAAAAATAGCGGTCGATGACGACGACGGATTACTACTACTACCACGACGATTATGACAGTTGTGGTAATAATAATAATAATTTTAATATTTATTTCACGGTTTTTCAAGATGGTTGTTAACTTGTTGGAAGAAAAAAAAAAGTTAATATCGGGTATTAATTAAAATTTTAAATTAATTATGATGATATTAAATATTATTATTATTATTATTTATTTCGTAATAATCTAGTTAGAAAGCTAGAGAAATGAATGACAATAATGATGATGATAATGGTGACGAAAGATAATAAAATATCGATTGAAAGAAAAAAGAGAATGTATAAAATTTTGTGGAAATAAAGGGAAAAGAAAAGAAAGGAAAATTGTGGAAGAAAAAAAACAAAAAGCAAACAAGTGGAAGAAGAAGAAGAGGAAGAAAAAGAATGGATGATGATGATGATGATTAAAAATGAAAGGAAAAAAAAAAAAAAAGAGAAAACGTTGAGGATAATTGAAAAAAATTTTTTTTTTGAGGAAAACGTTGCAATTTTTTTAAGTTTTTTCTTTTAAGATGAAATTGAATAACGAGGAGAAAGGAGAGAGGTAGGGAGGGGTGGAATGGAGAAGGGGAAGAAAGGAAAAAGGAAAAAACGCGACCTGGATGAAATGGAACGCGAGGAGATGGTTTGAGAATCAATTAATAATAATTAAATTTTTATTTTATTTATTCGAGGAGTTGAATGTTTTTTAAAACGACTTTGTTACAAAAAGAAAAAATGAAGAGATGAGTTAATGTGTAAGTAAAGAGTTCAAAAGAGAATAAGAGAGAGAGAGAGAGAGGGGCGGGAGAGAAAGAGAGAGAAAGGAAAAAGGGTTTCGGGTAAAGAAAATAATTTTCCTGTACGTGATCGGGAAAAAGAGAAATAAAATCGAACAAAGGATTGTTTAAAAAAAAAATAAAAAAAAGATCGAAAGGAAATGAAAGGAAGGACGTTCAAAAGATTTTCGTACTGAACAAACAAGGAAAGACAACAACAACAACAACAACTACAGCAACAAAAGCAACAGAAACTTTTACGGAAAAGAAAAATAATTTTTTTATTTTTTTTTTTACAAACGAAAAATAAAATGCGATCAAATTTTTTTTATATTTTAAAGAGAGAGAGAGAGAAAAGAAGGTGGAAAAGATAGAGAGAGATAGAGAGATAAAAGAAAAGGGAAAAGAGAGAGAGAGATAGAGAGGAAAATTAGTTTTCTGTGTTTTAATGATATTAAAATTTAAAATGGTGGATGGGCGTACGGGTAAGGTACGGGTACCACCACCACGTTTTCCTTCTTATTTTCAAAAACCTGAAATCGAACAGACGATGAACCTCTAAAGCACACTCAAACCGGATGATAATAATAATAAAAACTGATAAATAATAATAATAATACTACCAATAGTTTAATAATAATAATAACAGCTGATAATAGTTTGCACGCGTGCCGTTTAGATTTTTCATTCTGTGTCTGTGTCGAATAAAATGATGATGATGATGATGATGAGCGAGTGACGTAGTAGCGGTGTTGCCGTTTTATTTCGTATCATTAACATTATTATTAACATATTTTTTTTGTCTTTTCCAGCTTGGCATAATATATAGAGACATAAAATTGGAAAACATACTTTTGGATTCTCAAGGGCACATTGTACTCACAGATTTTGGTCTTAGTAAAGAGTTCCTACCTCACGAAAAGGTAAAAATCTATTCATTCATTCATTCATTCATTCGTTCATTCAATGATTTAATAATAATAATAATGATAAAATTGTTTATTTTTTTTGTCAGGATCAGAGAGCTTATTCATTTTGTGGAACAATAGAGTATATGGCTCCAGAAGTGGTTCGAGGGAACAACGGTCACGATATTGTAAGTTTTTATTTCTTTTTTTTTTTTTTTTGTCGCACCGCAGCATCCCCCCTCTCCCTCTCTTTCCTCTCTCACACATCTTTTTTATTTTTATTACTATTATCATCGTATAAAATTTTTTTCCCTTTCGGTCGTAAACTAGAAAGAGAGAAAGAGAGAGAGAAATGGTTAATACGACGACGTTGTAAAGAAGAATTTTTTTTTAGATATTTTACGAGAATTTGACGCGTTCGCACCACGTTCGTTTGTTGTTTATGTTTTGTTAGAGAAAAGTTTTCCAAAAAAAAAAGGAAACGGAAGTGAGAGAGTCGCGGATGAACGTAGTATGAAATTTTTTTTTAAAAGGGAAAACACAGAAAACGGCCTTGATGAGTATGTCAAACGCGACCCAGTTTTTTTTTACTTTCTGGCCGATAATGAAAACTGGAATTTTTTCTTTCTATTTACACGATGCGAAAGACGCAAACGACAAACGACAAACGACGACGTCGCAATTGGCATTTCGGTTTTTTTTTTTTTTTTCAAATGCCACGAATTCAATAGAAAAGAGTAGTTGACGATCTCGATGGTTATTGTCGTAAATAACAACTAAAAAAAAAAAAAAAAAAAATAATAATAATAATAATAATAATAATCGGGGCATTAAATCCCGACGTGTAAATTTTTTTTTTTTTCCTCTTCGCGTTTGTTTGTTCGTTTGTTTGTTTGTTTGTGTCGAGGAGAAGACCTCGCACTTGATTCTCCTTTTTTTTCACCTCGTTTAAAATCCTTGAACTGAAAAAATATTTAAAAAATTGACCCTAATTCTTTTGGATTTTCCAGTTTTTCCTTCTTCTTAAATTTTTTTTTTTGGTAGAGAGAGATAGAGAGAGACAGAGAGAGAAAGAGGAGGGAGAAAAAGAGGTGGAGAGGGAAGCAATACGGGGAGGAAGATGGGAAAAAACAAAAAGTTTTTTGAAATTTTTAATTTTTATTTTAAAATCTTTTTTCCCGCCTCCCTTTCCCTTTTCCCGCCTCCCCTTCCTCCTCTTTTTTTTTTCATTATGATTTTGATGAAGGAAATTTGATGTTTGTGGGATGAGAGTCGGGGCGGTCGAGAGTTTTCTTCTGGAGAAAAAAAAAAAAATCAGAAGAAATTTGTTGTTTTTCATCTTCTCATCTTTTTTAATTTTTTTTTTTTTTTAATTAAATTTCTTGTCAGGTTTTAATGTTTTTTTTCACTTCTGGAGAAAGAAAAAAAGTCAATGCCGTGCAGTATAATAATAATAATAATAATAAATTTTTCCAGGTATTATTATTTAAAAAGTTTGAAATGGTTGCCTGGAATTACTTTTTTTAATAAAATTTAATTTAATTTGAAATGTTTTTGCGTGTTATCACTGGGGTTTTTTTTTTGATAACATTTCACAATAGTTAAAAATTCCAGGTTTTCTGGAATTATTTTTCACAGTTGTTGTCGTCGCGTTTTTTTTTTTTTTAAGGTTCTTTTACCTACCTGCGTTATCGAATTGAAACGAGGTCGAATTTCTTTTTTGTTTTCTTTTCTCTCTATTCAAAAGTTTTTGAAAAAAAAAGCAGAAGAAAAAGAAAAAAACCTTGAATGATGAAAACATGCGAAGAATTGCAAATGAAAATAATTTTTTTTTTTAATCGTTTGTCGTTTGTTTGTTTGTTTGTTTGTTTCTGATACTCATTCAGGTTGCGTGTCACAAGCGTAAAAAAAAAAAGAAAAAAAAAATTTTTTTTTTTTTTTTCGCTGGAATTTCGGATGGAATTTAGAAATTTTTGTTTGTTCGTTTGTTGGTTGGTTCGAATCTTGTTTGTTATTACTCCAACGGTCAATGTGTAATTTTTTTTACAGGTTGTACCTTACTTCTCTTCTGTTATTACTTAACACGTCCTTGAATGACCTCGACACGATTCAGGCTTGTGACCGGGTTTGAAATCATTTCTATCGGTCGGTCCTACTTTCTTTTGTTGAAGAAATAAAAAAAAATTCCAAAATGTTTTCTGATTTTCCGTTTTGACCCTTTGACGTGGGATGTAGCAAATGAAAGAGAACGTTCCATAGCATGTATCGTGTCATTAGACGATAATTACAGGGTGGAAAAAGGCGGCGAATCGAACAACGACGGCAAAGACGACGACGACACGAATCTTTCGCTCATGCGTTTGTATTTTTTTCAAATCTTTTTTTTTTTATTTCCCATTCGTGAAACGAATAGAAATCGATAAATCGATCGATCGACCGATCGGTCGATTCATCCATCGACACCACCTGTTGAATTTTTTTTTTCGTTGAATTGTCATCATCACGATTACATTTTCGTATTTTGTTATTTGCTACGTGTTCGATCGTATCTATCTTTTTTCCGGTTTTGGATCCCTGTCATTTGTATTATTATTATTATTATCGTTCACGAATAATGTCGTACAGTTTCTGAAGAGAGAGAGAGAGACGCGAATGATGTTTATGATTGAGATAAAAAGAAAAACTCGCGCGGGTTGCGCAAAAATCAATACAATGTACAATTAAAATTTCAAGGTAATTAGGCCTTGGCTTGAGTTGAAAGTGAAAGTTGTTTGTCCTCATTTTTACTTTCTTCTTTGGTAAAAAAGAAAAGAAATGAAGGAGGGAGAGAGTGAGAGAGGGAAGGGAAGAGAGAGGATGAGAGAGAAAGACGAAAGTAAGATGGATATTAAATCCATTCGCACACTCTTTGAAAAGTAAATAATAATATACGTGGCAGTAAGTAGATTTTTCTAATACGTGTGATGAAAAAAACAAAAAAAATTCGTACTTCCGTTCATTTACCGGAAACACTCTTTCCTCATTCGTTTAACACTCACTCTTTGAAAATTTTCTGGGAAAAAGGTTTTGGCAAAAATTTGGAACGACGACCACATGCTCGACGATGAATTACGAAACGAATTTTTTTTTTTTTTTTTAAGATTTTCGTTTTTTCGCTTTCCCGGAAGTAGTTAAATGACACGAAATGCACGTTCGCTAACACCGAAAAAAGTATAAATATGTTTTTTTTTTTTTTCTGCTTGAACAATGATGCATTAAATTCAAGAGAATTTTTTTTTTTTTTATAATAAAAGAATTTCGAAATGTTGATGACCTCCATTTATTACAAATGTATAATATTATATATATAAATATATTTGAGAATAACTAACAGTAAAACGAGATCCGTGCCTGCCTGCCTGCTTGCCTGCCTACCTGCCTGCCAACCTACCTAACTGCGTCCCTGCGTCCCTCCGTACCTACCTGCCCACCTGCGCGTGATGACTGTCAACCTATCTATCTACCGTTGTAATCGTTTTACATTTAAACTTTTTTTTTGTTAAAAAAATGTATTTGATTTTGGTGAAAATTTTAAACACGTGCGTGCGTGAGTGCGTACGTGCACGTGTCGTCATCGATGATAACGTTAATAAAATCGTAACGGTTTTTTTCTTCTTGTAGGCGTTCGAGTCTAAAAAAAAAATTTGTCGAATGTATTATGTGTTGTCGCTCGTGTATAAATTTGTCGTGTCAATAATTAATCGTAATCGAATTGGAATTTTGAAATGGAAAAGTGTCACTAACGACGGTGACAATGGTAGGATCGCGTCGCGTTCGGCACGTGATCACGATTATACATAACAGGGCCAATTTTGTGGTCATTTTTTTTTGTTTTCATTACGCGTGACAGCGAGATATTTATTATCAACTGGAAAACTCGAAGCGGCGGGTGCGGGGGTTGCGGAAAGCGAGGGTAAAAAAGGGGGAGGGAAAATGTAGTTAATTTTTCTCGGGGTTTTTATAGCGCTCTATAAATTTTTTTTTTTTTTTTTTTTTCAAAAAAAAGAAAGCATTTCCCATCGAACGCGTTTTACGAGTTTGTTTGACGAGTTAAAAAAAAAAAAATTTTCTTTTGAATAGTTATTATTATTATTATTTCTTTTCCACGGTTAGAAAAGGATTGTTAATTAAACGTGTCAATATATTGAATCGAATTAGAAGATTTGTTGTTTTTTTTTTTTTTTTAAGCTTTTTTTCGAAGGCGTTATGGTTCTGACCTAAGAAGGTCGTCGTCGTAGTCGTCGTCGTTTCAATTCTCGAATGAATGAAATGCTGGGGAGGGGGAAAAGGGAGGGAAAATCGATAAAGAGAAAGATGAAAAATGTTACGAAAGGTCACGTAAACCGAATGTTCCACATTTACCCAAAGAAAAAAAAAAGTAATAATTTTTTTTTTCGCACGTTCGGAGAGCCCGAACGGAAACATTGCAAACGAGAAAATATTTCGACTCCCCCCTTTCCCCCTTCCCTCCTTCTCTCATTTTCCTTCACGCGAAATTTCGATTCGTTCGTAAACCCGTTTGAACCCGTTCGAGTAAAATTTTCCACGAAAAAAAAAAAGGAAAATTTTTTGGTGTTTGGTTGTTTGATTTTATCGATATATCGATCGATTAATCGATGAATGTTAACAACAACAACAACAACTTCATTACATCGTTTTCGTCGCATTCGTCGTCGTCGTGTTAGCAAGGAGCGTAGTAATGTTATTTTTATTCAAATTAAAATTAAATCCACGTCACGTTTCGTTGATTCTACTGCCACGAAATTAAACGTGGGGTCGTTTTCGTTTCGTTTCGTTCCGTTTTTTTTCTAAGGCTAATAATTTGTTGTTTGTTTACGTTAAATCAAGTGAAAGAGAATTTTTTGAAATTTTTAATAAAAAAAAAAAAACTCCCACGGGATTATTATGCAATTTATTTATAAGAAAAGGATAATAATGATAATTTTCATTAACACCTACGACGAACGTTATGAAAAAAAAATAAAAATAATAAAAATAGAAAATGAATTGGAAGAAGAAACAAAAAAAAAAAAAAAAATTTTGCAATTTTCGCGATTGAGAGACCGAAGAAAAAAAAATAAAAAAAATAAAGATGGCGTCTTTTCGGTGGGTGGTTTCAAGAGATTTTTATTGATTTTTTTTTTTTTAA